TATTGAAACTGTGCTGGTGTTTGTGAATCTCAATGGCTTCCTGGTATAGCCTGGTATAGTGGCTGTTGGTGTTCCCCTCACTGCCGCAGGAATATACTGCATACCATGCAGCTGCGGGCAAGTATACATCGGGACCACAAAACGCAGCATCCATACCAGGAGTGAAGAACACGAAAGACACTGCAGACTACAGCAACCAGAAAAATCTGCAGTAGCTGAACATGCTCTCAAGCACACTGGACACAAAATCCTATTTGAAAACACAGAGATACTGGACAACACCAACAGCCACTATACCAGGCTATACCGGGAAGCCATTGAGATTCACAAACACCAGCACAGTTTCAATAAAAAAGAGGAGAGTCTAAAAATCAACAAAACCTGGCTACCAATCCTGAAAAATACAGCCTGCAAAAGGTCAACGAACTCAGCTCAACCACCAGGACATGTGAACAGTTCACACAATGAACTTGCTAATCACCCCCAGCAGTGCAGATTTTTCTGGTTGCTGTAGTCTGCAGTGTCTTTCGTGTTCTTCACTTCACTTCACCCTGGGCACAGAGAGAACTGCTCCTGTCTGTGCTCCTGCACTCTGAAGATGCCGGTCACAGGTGCTGGCGAAACGTTAGGAAACAAGACTTCAAGACCACGGCCACACAGCCCAGAAGACCCACACCAGCCATCGTATGCCGGCCGTGAAAGCCTTCGACAGTTCAGTGAATATTTACAAGTTACACTTTTAAAAAAAAATCAAGATGGTTGTGGCAGCGTGATCAAAGCCCTGCCCTTTCTCTACGGACAGAGCTTCAACCACATTGCTGCAACCGCCATTTTAATTTCTTTTCCTGCTGCAGATACCACCACAAGCTACTTACCATTTACAATGTGCTAAATTCTTACATTTATCAGAACTTCTGCTCTAACTACACAAATGTTTTCAAGAATCTCTTCAGGAGATGCTCAAAAAAAGTCAAGATAACAGCAATGGTGCAAACCAGATAGAATGTCAATTGCACTGTCATGACCACCATTTTGACTTTTTTTTGCCATACCCTACTGACACCCCTGGAGTTTTTCAATGTTGCCAAGATTTTATAACTTTAATCTCTTTCTTTTGTATGCTAATTGCTGCTTCTGCATAGTCTGGGAAAGATAGTTCCTGAAATGAAGCATCTTCCACTCTGTGTAGAGGAATCAGAAGCACACGCAGCAATGCCTTTGCCCATGAAGCCTTCCTTGATGCTACCTGGGAAATATGGATGGTCTTGAAGCCCCCATCATTCTTTGATGCTAACTAGAAAATGTCCTTTGGGTGGAAAAATAATACACCAAGAAGTTATTGTAAAAACTGTCCACTTGACAAAGCAAGCTAAATTAATGTCCTCAGATTTTTTGCACCAAAACATATGTATCAAGAGGCATCTTTTGCAGGAATGGGTTGAACATCCTTCATTTAAGACAAAGCTGTGTGTTTGATCAAATGGCAGTTTTATCTTGGGAGCTTGCAAAAGCATGAAGTCAATCTCAGACAAGAAGTAGGCTTTCCTCCTCTTCAGTGTTTCTGCAGCTTCTAGTCAGGACCCTTTGCCAGATTCAGTCAGGACTTTTCAGAGAGAAATTAAAATCCAGAATAGCTATCTGATTTAAGAAGGATAAAATATAAATGATAAGATAATCAGATGAAATGTGCAGTTCCAAATGTTGGGGAAGTTACAGTGAGATCCTTGTGCTGCTGCTGCCTCTGGCTCATCCTGTCCTGAGTTTTATGCACCCCTTTAAATCAAAATAACTATCTACCTCTGATGGTGGTATAGTGCAAGGTGTAATTTATGTTGGCACACTGCTTTGCAGCCCTTGGATAATACATCTGATATGGGAAAGCGCATTGTGCTGCTGTCCTCAGTAGAGCCTTTCATGTGACATTTTACTGAGTAACTTTAAATTAAATATGATGGAATTTCTGCATATCATCCTTGGAATGTTACAACATGAACAATGAAATGTTTATCTTCTTTTCCAGTATCTCCATTTCACAGCTAGGTGATACAGACTGGGAAATTATGTTTCAGCCAATGTCATTTCTTATAATACTATTAAGATTGTCTTTTGTAACTTGATCTATATTTGCTGTCTAATATACAGCTTTTGTCTATTGGATTAAAACTGAATTTATTTATTTGATTGATTGATTGATTGATTGGTATAGCCACCCATCTTGCACATATGATTCTGGGCAGCTTACAAGGATTAAAAACACACAGAAAAACCAACAACATATAACTCCAGGCACTCAAGGATAAACAATAACCCTACTCAGAAGATGGGGGGGGGAGCACACATTGACAACGGCAGCGCTCATCTAACCATCTGGCCCAAATGTCTGGAGAAAAGCCAGGTCTTCAGAGTCTTATGGAAGACAATCAAGGTTGGGGCCATACTGGGAGGATGCTGTTCCACAGGGCAGGTGCTGCTATTGAGAAGGCATGACTCCAGGATCTAACAAGATGACATTGTTTCATAGAGGGGACCTGGAGCATGCTCCCTCTGCTAGATCTGGTGGTCTGTGCAAAACCAATGGAGGAGTGCTTACAAACATTTACATCTTTTGAAATAACTAGGAGCTTTCCTATGTTGGAGAATAGGAATGTATTAGTGATTCTAAAAAATGAATTGGGAGATATAAAGCTCCATCCGTAAGTCTAGATCAACTCAGTTTTTGCAGACTTTCCTATCTGCACTATTAGGGGTCCCAATAATTGAACTGCTTACCTAGCAACTATGGGCGGAGCTATGAAAGTTGTAGTCTTTCTGCTTAATTGATCAGACCTGGAGCGTGTCCACTCTAGCTGACCTCACCCAACAAACATACAAACAAGTAATGGAATAAGAAAATAAAAAGTAGGAACTAATGTCTTTCTGATAATATTTTCCAATGACTTGCAAGAAGTTAGGGGCAGAACTTGACTTACAAAAACTTCCCTTTGCTTCTTCCTAATACTGCCAATATGGTCCTGCTATGCCAAAATGAGTGCTGGAGGGACCCCTGGCAATATTGCCAAGAGCACCGATGCTCCTACTAGGTTTACACAGGAGCTCCTATAATCCAACCCACAGAACAGCCAATATTCTAAGTATTTGACATTCATCTGACTGGGTAGCATAAATCTAACCACAAGGATGTGACAAAGGTAAGAATGAACAGACATTTCACTTAAATACAGTTTATGACTAGGCTATTAAATACTGGTATTGATTAAAGTACACAGTCATTATAATTGTCAGGAACTAGCAATCTTAGATTAAATATTTTACAATGCAAAGTTATTTTCTGTGCCAGACTTCGAAGTGTAATTGTAAATAATCTCTGAATCTGAATTTGCTCTTGAAGGGAGTTTTTGTACAAGATAATGCCTTTTCTTTTAGGGTTAGTGTATACACAGCAAAGATTTATGTCTCAAATTCAGTGACTACCTTTCTTTGCCTGCTCATGCAAGACAATATTTTTTAGGCTTTATTGGTTCAGTCCAATTGATGGGGGCAAATTGAATTAGTTTACTTTTTACTTGGCTGGAATGGAAGCCAAGAGGAGGCTTTAATGGTTCACTGGCAAAGAGATTGCATGTATTAAAATGTCCATTCTATGGGAGGGAGGGAGGGAGGGAAGGAAGGAAGGAAGGAAGGAAGGAAGGAAGGAAGGAAGGAAGGAAGGAAGGAAGGAAGGAAGGAAGGAAGGAAGGAAGGAAGGAAGGAAGGAAAGTGTCGGTAGGCACAGTTTTACTGATAGCAACAAAGAACATTCAAAGGTTCCAATCTAAACTCTGAGACAGAGAAACCCAACTGTGAGAAAAAAAGGAAGCAATTCAGGCAGCTGATCAATCAATCAATCAATTCTCTTAGCAGAGAGTGCATAGAGCCACTCTATGGAACTGATCTGAAAGGTCAGAAAAGTATCTTACAGTGTCTTAGATTGTCATGGAATTATTGTTAAGCTACATAGATAGAGTAGGCACGGAAAGGGTAAATGAGTTTCCTGTGTCTCTTTACAGACACTCCTACACCACAAGAGTTCCCTAAAGAGATGCCCTTTGTCTTGCTTGCTCACTTCAGTCAGATAAAAATACCACCATCCCTACCATGTGGCCAGGAAATACAGAAAGCATAGATGAAGCTCTCCCGGTCCTTTTAGTTATGCTGAAGATGAATTGCCTTGGGTTCTTGGTGTCTGTGTTTCTACAATCCTATCAAAGTAAGACTCATTTCTTAACTAATAAATTTCTCTTTTGTTGGTCTTATGCTTGCTTACTTCCTGTTAAATTCCTCTGAAATCTATGAAGCTTTGAAGTAATTTATTCAGATAAAAATAAGACCATTTTGTATTTGTTTCTGGTGTTGCAATCCTACTGATGTTTACTTAGAAGTGAACCTCACGATGTTCAAAGTGAATTAGTGAATAATAGAGATTCCAAAGTGAATTGGATAATAGAGAATTGTAGCCAATATTATAACTTCATTGTATTGCTATTAGTAATAACTTGGGAGATGGGTTTGCTGAGCTTGTTCTTCAACTGTAAAGGGATCGGGTTGGGAGAAACATTTTGTTCAGTTGGTACAGCATGTGTTAATTGTGTATTTTTGTGGCTCAGTATTTAACAAAATAAAAATGTCCTGTTTTAGGCAGCGCTGCATTTGTGGCAGAAAGAAAACACGTGGACTCAATTGTGAGACTCTCCAGCACCATGGCTCTTAAATGTGTCTACCCAACAAATGCATCCATTTCTCAGATGACATGGCAGAAGGAAGAGAATGAAAAGAAACGGATCATTGCAGTCTTCAGGCTGCCTTATGATTTATATATAGAAAGCAACTATAAGGCCAGAGTCCAGGTCACTAACCTTACCTCAAACAACAAGTCTTTGGTTTTCAACAACACTAGTGAGGCAGATGTTGGTTTTTACCAATGCTCCTTTCATACTTTTCCATATGGGATCTGGGAAAAGAGGATACATGTTGTTCAATCTGGTAAGATGAATCTGTTTATTTTCATTTTATAAACTACTGATAAATTCAAATTCTGGATATTTGCTTTTATGGTCAAAAAGAAATCAAGTTTCATTGAGGATGTCCTCAGGTGAACTTTTCCTACCTTCCCTATGATATTACAGTGAGTCTGAGGCAGCCATTCATCACCCAAAGCTATTGTTAGTGGATATCTTCTAAAGGAGAAGGAACAGAGGTGGAATTTTTAAGCTGGGATGCTGCCAAGGGAAATGAAGATCTTAACTTTTTCATCAAATGCTTAATTGGTTAACTCCTACACTGGGCAGGGGTTAGACTAGATAATACCCAATGTGACTTCTAACTCATTAGTTCTATCAAACAATAATTTTAATTTATGGAACAGCATAGCAAGACATCATATCTTAGATCCACTGTTCCTGTACAGATACTGTGGACATCTCTGATTGGGTTCACAAATAGCGTAAAGAATGAACATGGTTTGTTTGGTTTGGGTTTTGTGGGTCTTGTAAACTCAGCCACTGTAGTTTGTGAACTGAAGTTTATGACTTAGTTCAATGTGTGAATCCAGGCTGCTTCATTCTACAAAGATGGCGTAGTACAAAACATAAAGCATCTCTCTTTCCCTTGCACACGTCCCTTCCCCCACTTTGGAGCCTCACAACACTTGCATCTAACAGGGAAAGATTTTTTTTCAGGAAAAAAAAAACTTGGAAATGAAAGAAATAGAGCAGTTATTCCTTGTTCACCTGCCCATCAGTTTTGTGCTCTAAAACAAGGTTCTTCAACCTTGGCAACTTTGAGCGGGTGGACTTCAATGCCCAGAATTCCCCAGCCAGCCTTGCCATTTGGCTTATAAAATAATTTAAGAATTACGTGTTATGCTTTCATGGCATTTGCAATATTTTCTGTCACTTTCAACCAAAAATGTCAAATTGAAAGTATGTTAATCTTCCTCTTTAACAATGAGCAATTTTGCTCTTAAAGAGCATTGCTGGTGGGTTTAGATAGTGATTCAAAGGCTCTTGAGATGTACTTTTCACAGGTACTATAGATATTTTACCTAAAGAAGAAAAAATAGTACCAAAGGAATTACTGTTTTTGTTTGTAGATGTTGCGGATTAATTATACTCACTACTATTTATTCCATCAGCTGCTAGGAGCCTTTAATTTTGGAACCTGCTATTGTATGTTTCTACATGAAAGACGCAAACTGTATTTCTGGCACCCTTTCATTCACGAACTTTGTCCTAGCTGAAAGTTCAGTTGCCTCTCACTTTGGACTATGACTATGCTAACTTCTAGATCCTTCCCCAGTCAGGATGTCCTCCTGATGGGTGGACTTTAACTCTTAGGATTCTCCAAGTAGCCATTTAGTTCTGGGATGATAGAGGATACTCAGACTGGGGATGGTTGTTTTAGTGTCCACTAAATTCTGAATAAATCCTAATGAACAATAGAATAGGAAGGTTCATGCTTAGAAAGTCCTCCATGCCAGCAAAAAGGATAAAATATAATTAGAAGTACGATTTCAGAAACTCATGAGGAAATAGACATTTGCCTTCTATAGCTGATGTCAAAGCTGAATCTTTGGCTGACACAAAAATTAACAGATTTAATTCAAATTCTCTCCTTTTTAAAAATCTGGGGTCAGTAACTTGTTTCTGATGAATATATAAAACTTAGAGAAATACTCTGAATACATATTTTGTTCTTCATATAACACATTATATTCCAGTACAACCAAAGATTTGTGTGTGATATAAGGACTCTTGTTTTTTGAAACATTGGTGTTCAGCAGATATTTGTACGTCAATAATGGTGACTACAGGTTTGACACAATTTTTAGCCCGGTTTTGTGATAACCGTATGTTGTCGTCCACCGTAGCATAAGTATGGTTCAGAATTTATCTGCAACGGCACAACATCAGAAACATGAGATTTCCTTTCCTCCACTTTTAGGAGTTCTTTGTTGAAAAGGAGATGATAAATTTCTCAGAAGGCTTCCGTCTTCTGGATCATCATTCGGAACAAGTTATTCTTCCTTTGTTCTGTGCCCTCACCTGAGAAAAATCTTAGCTTAAGGTCTTACCAAGAATCCTAGACCAATTCATTTTAATGACAGAAACTATAAACTCAGACTTTCCCAATCTGGCTCCTTCCAGATGTGTTGGACTTCAAGTCTTAGGGTCCCCCAGTCAGCACAATCAGTGGCTAATATAGCTAAGAATTATGGAAACTGATGGACTACATCTGGAGGACACCAAGTTAGAGAAGAGCCATATAAGCCATCAAGCATAATTAGGCAGTATGAAAATAGATCTTAAAAGACTAGTATCTACTGAAAATTAAAGAATAGTATGGCCATAATTTTTCATGCATGGACACTTGCTATGTGATAGGAAATAATTTAAAATAACTATGGCGTATGTGTCATGTGTCAACATTTCAAGTCACTATAACTATTACAGTCCACTAAAAGGCAGTTTAAATGATAGAAATATGAGGTTGTTGTGTGGCAGAAAAAAAATTGAAGAGCCAATCTGTGGCTTAAGAAGCCATAAATCTGAAAGTAGGCAAACCGGTGAAAGGTAGCCATAAAAATGACATGCATGCTTTCAAATCAATGAAGAGGGTATGATATGATTCTTTTTTTTTTCTATTGTAACCATTTATGATAAAGAAAAAAAATGTAGATGACTATATTAAAAATACATGATCAGAGCTGTATTTCTTGCACTCAGTGACTATAAAAAATTGTCCTGAGTTAAACAACAAAGGGTAGGAAAAAAGCTAAAAGCTGTATTAGACCCACCACCCTTCTCTTTCCTAGCAGCACCTGATTTCCTTTGGCTCCAATTGTCCTTGCAGATGTTCCCTTCACCTCTGTTCTGCTAAAAGTGGAAATGTGTGTTTCGGATGAAACTAAAAGCAATTCGCCATTTTCTTCTAGCTCGACTACCAAATCCTTGCATAGTATAGTGTACTGTATACAGCAGAGACATAAAAATCATAATATATTTAGGAAAATTGCATAAAAGTGTGCATATACAGAGGGAAAGACAGACTCATATATGAGAAATGTTTTTAAAATTCCATCCATATTAGACAACTTATTACAGTCGTACTAGGTAAATGCATATTACAGGATGTTTCTATCCCACCAAGAGAAAGATCAAAACAGTCTGAAGGACGGAGCTTCAAGGGTGCAGTTGCAGCTGCCATCATGATTTTTTGACTCCCCTGAGTGGTCACACACTTTTAACAACTTCTTCTCCTTTAACAACTCTTTTCATTTTAGGAAATAAAACAGAATGATTAATATTTCCTCTGTTTTTATTTATTTAATATGCCCACCAGTTATTAGGAACCCGGTGTAATGTATTATTAAAAAGAATCAATGGCAGCATATCATAAAAGGCAAGAAAAAAAGAGAAAAAAAGCAGGTATAATAATTTGTGAGAGTCAAATAAATTATAGTGATATAATTTCATTTAATTTTGAAAGTCCAAAGGTACAGAACAATATTTTACTCAATATCTGAAACACAGTAAGGACCAGGTAAACTGCTTTCTCTGGCAAGGTTATACTACAAATATCCCAGTTTCCACAGTTCGCTGAGATTAGTTGCTGTTTCTACACAGACCAGGGAGCTCTGATTTCACTTTCTCAATTGCCCATGTTGTCTGCCTTTGTAATTGTGGGTGGGAGAGACTGAAAGAAATGTGTCAACAAGATTAATCATTGTACATAACATTTTCTTCCATTTCAAAAAGGGTTAATCAACTCAAATGCAATTTGGATAAGATAGAATCATTCTTGGCAGGGGGTAAGGTTGACCAGCTTTGTATATGTCTCTAGATGATTGCCTTCCCTTTGAAAAAATGGACATTCAGCTTGGGAGTGTTGCTCACTGGCTCTTCTCCTTAAACCTTATGGCTGTACCATGAGGTTGTTGTAACATAAAGAACATTTCTCCAGCTTCAGCTGGAACACCTTCTGCAAGTGTTTTTGGAGCATGCTGACCTTTCAGGATTGTCCCATGCCCATTTCACCTCTTATTATTATAACTGTCAATATGGAATCCTGCACTGGAGGACCTTTTGGAAACCATGGTTGGTCCATAATTAGTCAGCCAGAGCTGTAACTGGATCTCAAAGAACAGATCACGTAATACAAATCCAGAACATCTAGAGAGCTTCCCTCACAGTTTCCACCCAGATTTCCCAGACTACTATTCATGTAGAAGTGGGCTTGCTTGGTGGCTGTTCCTATTTTATGGAAGAACTTTCCATCCAAGATTTATTTATCTCCAATTCTTTTAGTTTAAGTGTAAAGTAAAGGTTTATATATTTTTTTCTGAAATATTTCCTGGCATTATTCAAGAAATCTGACTGGTTCTCACCTTTCTGATCAACTGATGTTATAAATGCAGATACTTTTTTTTTAATTGTACTTTTAAATTTACTTGTATTTATATTTCTGTCTTTAATTAACTTGTCAGCTGTTTTAAGTGCTTCTAAAGCAGAAAAGCCATGTAACATTTCTGAACATAAATACATTATGAATTACATTATCTCTATCTCTCACACACCTTACTTTTATTATTATTTTCAAAACAGGACCTTTTGAGCTTCCAGACTTGTCAAAGTATCATGTGACTACTGAACCAGGACAAAATGTCACCTTTACATATAGGAATGACTCTGATGTAGCAGTGAATCAAGTGACATGGGAAAGAGTTCAACCTGACTGTATAGACTTTATAATCCAGTGTGCTGATTCCGAAATGCCAATCTATGGTTCGGATTATGAAAACCGTGTGGATTGTTCCTCTGAAAGAAACAGTTCAATTGTACTTTGGCATGTCACACCTTCTGACTCTGGAATGTACCGCTATTCTTACAACAAGGTGAATGGAGAAAATGGAACTGGCTGGATAAAACTGACCATTAATAGCCATGGTAAGTTAAGGGAAAGCATATTATTATTATTATTATTATTATTATTATTATTATTATTATTATTATTTTAAATTTATTATAGCTGCCCACTCCCATAGACTCTTTACACAATGCTAACTCTCTAAGAAAATGTTAGCAAAACCCTTGAAATGTTTTTAAATAAATATATGTTACACTGTCCTATGATTGGTAAACATCTGGAAAACAAAAGAGAATGAAAAAAAAAGTGAAAGCATTACCTTTGACTGAATGGTTAAAAAGTAAGCAGGAAAGGAAATGTTGCAAAGGTGTTAAGAAGGAAATGTTACAAAGGTAAGAGATGTCAAACTAAATAAAACCTTATTATTGCATCCTATTGCAGAAACATTTCCCATCAGTTTAAGCAATGAAGAATAAAGAACCAGATCCATGTTCTAAAATAACAAATGCACAAGTCACACTGAGGATGGAAGCCCTATTTAAAATATAGATATAGATATAGATATAGATATAGATATAGATATAGATATAGATATATTTGCCTTTTGCATTTGTAGAGCCCTGTCTCTTGAATTCTAGACTTAAACTTAAGAAAGGGCCAAGACAGTTGCATCTACACTTGGTTTGTTCATAAAAATCGTTTTCTCATGGATTCCCTGGGTCAGATAACAGTTTGCTTTAATGCAAAAGAAACATTGAAGTTCTGAAGGTGCCTTATACCACAGTCTATTCAAACTATATTGTTTTGACTCCAACTGGCCACAGTTCCCAAAATGTCAGGCAGACGTTTTTCATTGCTGTGATCCTTTCCAATGACCCGCAGATGCCACAAACTGAACACACTACAAAGCAAGTGTTCAGTTTGACTTCTGGCTCAGGCCCAAGACTACATCTGAATATCAAGAAACTATCTCTTCTCTTCTTACTGCTTGCAAGCTTAAGCTCTTGTCTGAGATCTCTTTGCAACAATCTCTTCCTGTTTTTGCTGCCCTCCTATTGATTTCTGTCTAGAAGAGCTCCCACTGCAGCTGAATAGGCCACTCCAAACCTGAGGTCCAGGTATCTTGTCCAGAGAGCCCAAGTGATCGCAGGCCTGCTCTCTCTTCACTCTTCTGTACCTTCTCCTGTCCTTCCTGCTTTCGTTCACTTCTCTTTTGTACTAAGCCTTGTCTTTTCTTCTCCATGTTTCCCAGCAGTTTTGGTAAAAGAGGGAAGTATCTAGCTAGCCAAAGTTGGTAAGAAAGTAATTAAGAGAAAGAATGCACTCCCTGTGGTAGGAGGATTGAAAAAAGGTACAGGAGACTTTGCGCAGAAAACCAAGTGAATATGAACATCGCAATTTTAACATTAGTAGCAATAACAGGCAGTGAAAATACATTCATAAGTCCCTCATAAGAATTTTTTTTTGAGCCACAAAATATATAAGGTTTCTTGATCAGGATGCATCCCAGCCTGAATGGTATTGCTGGAGGACAGAATCGAGGCAGATGCTTTCTCTCGCAGACTGCTCCGTCACAACCCTGATGCTTGCTTGCTTGCTTGCTATTTATTTATTTATTTATTTATTTATTTATTTATTTATTTATTATTAAACTTGTATGCCG